TGGAGAGGTATGGCATAAGCGACAGGCTGTCATGAGAGAGGGAAACACCTGTTTTGGAAGAGAAACAGACGTTTGTGCCAGCGCTTTCTCAATTATTTTGTCTGGCTCTCACGTCAACCCTGAGGGAGGTGTGATTATTCCCATTTCACAGATGAGGCCTCTGAGGCTCAGAGTAGGGAAGTGACTTGCCTAGAAAGGGCTGAAAACAGAATATAAACAGGCCTATCTGATTCCTGGGCCTAGAGAAGTAGGCAGATGGAATCTGTAGCCCTAAAGGTAGGCATAATTTGGGGATCTTGGCCAAGTACCCAGTGCCTGTGTACCAACCTTTGCCCCAAACAGAAGGTGATAGTATACAGCTGGGTCCTGACCCCACAGGGTGACCCCTGTGCTGGCTCAGGTGGGGGTCGAGGCAGCAAATGGCAGGTGGCTTCATACCCCAGCCTTTTGTACACACAGCTGCTCCAGCTGTGGTCACTCCCTCTCTCCCCTGACCTCCTGCTCTTCTGGTCCTCTTCTTTCAAGTTTGAGTCAAGCCTCTCCTCCCGCTCTAGCCCCTCAAGATGCCTGCTGGAGTGGCACTTCTGGGCACTGAGTTTTCACCACCTCCAGGCCCTTGGCTATTTACAGAGTGAATGAATGTGCACATGTGCCCGAGAAACCCCATTCTCCAGGGCTTCCGGAGAAAAGCAAGGCCTCCCAAGCCCTGGCCCCTTTCTGTCTTTTTTGCCCCCCTTCCCTCCCCATCCCTGTGGTAGGGTCCAGGCCGTGCTGCTCCCAACAGGGCTAGAAGTTGAAGCAGCAGCCTCTGGCAGCAGAAGCAATTGGGCCTCCTGGGGTGGGAAGCAGAAAGGGCTGCCAGGTTCACTCCTCACCCCTGACCCTGCATGGCTGCATATGGAGAGAAGAGGGCACAGAACGGGGTGGACAGGGCTGGGAAGGGTTGAGAAGCCCAGCTACTAGGCTACCTTTGGGAGGAGGAGGCTTCCTGCCTGCCTTCCCCCAGGCGGGTGAGCCAGCTGGGGGTCGGGGGACCACCTGTGCCCTCTCCAGGCCTGCCCTGATAGCTTAAGACAGAAGTCAGCACTGGACCTGCTGTCAAGAAGCCTGCCTTCCAGACTTTATTTGACACTTGCTAAGAACCTACTCTGGCTCTTGCTGAGGTTGGGTGGGGTTTAAAAATGGGTGAGATCCATTTCCTCCTCCAGAGGAGCTCACAGCAGATATTTAAGGAAGAACAAGCATAGCAAATACTCATGGAGCACTTCTTCATGTGCCAGACACTGATCGGAGTCCTTCACATATATCCACCACTAAGTGGATGTTCACAGCAACCTGTTAGAAAAATGCCATTCTAAGCTCCATTTGGCCAATGGGGATAATGAGGCGCACAGAGATCCCGAAGCTTGCCCTAGATCACACAGTAATTTGCGTGTGGGATCCACACCCAGGCACCTGGCATCAGCTTCCCTGCACTTGGCCCTTGCACTATGTATTGTCTAGGCCATCCCCAGTGCAAGTGGCCCCCTCTGACACAAGCAGCGTCTTCCTCCTGGCCCTGCCTCCTTGTCAGCAGGTTGCTGGGCCCTGTAAACTTGCCAGGCACCAACATATGCTTTAGGATGTCACCACCTTCATTGAATTTCACTGTCTGCCCTGGTTACATCTTTCCCCGTGCATTTGCCCTCTCATCCTATGGAAGCTCCAAGCTCTCGTGAGTCTCCTGTTTCTCACTTTCTTGGAGTGTCTTGCACAAAGCAGGTGCTCAGATGTGTTTGCGGTTTGGCAGGTTGGTGGAGGATGCCTTCATTTGCCCAGGTGTCTGAGACATGAATAAAGTGCTTTTCAACCTGTACCTTGGAACCGCCTGGGGAGTTTTAACCACTGATGCCCAGAGCCTACAACCCGAGGTTCTGATGTAACTGGTGTGGAGTGCAGTCTGAGCCTGGGGCCTTTGACACTCCCAGGACAATTCTGATGGGTAGCCAGTAACTCCTATGTTAATGCTTTTAGAATATTTGGAAGTTTCACTCGAGGGCAGGCAGTGGGGTACAGGGAGCAGAAAGAGCTTGGGCTTTGGAGATGGGCAGACAAGATTCAAATCACAGCTCAGCCGTTTATTTACAGGTTGGGTGAACTTGGGTAAGTCAACTTCCCAAAGCCTCAGTTACCTCATCTGTAAAAAGGGGCAACAACAGCCATCTTTAGGTAAAGCCCCTGGCACGGGGATGGCATACGCTAGAAGAAACGTAACATATGGCAGCTATTAAAACTTATTGTGCATTTCTCTACCCAGCACGTGATTACTTGTGGAACAACAGAAAACAAGACCATTGTGGGTCCTAAACTTGTGGCATTTATGTTCCAGTAACTCAGTCTAACAGGTTTCATTAGTTTGGGGTGTCAGGCACTGTATGGGTGCAAAGATGAACAAGACCTTGTCCTTGCCCTGGAGGAAAAGAGAAGTGGACACTAATCATAACTGACATAGAGGAAGGGGAAGGCCGATTAGGTACAAAGAATGGTAGGCTTCAGGGGAGAAAGCCATCTAGAGGGGAGATCAGAGTTTCCATGGAATGTGTGATACCTGAGAAGGCCCTTGAAGGGGGGACAGGATTTTGTAGGATGAGGGGAGGAGGGTGGTGGTAGAATAGCTTAACCAGAGGCTTGGAGGCAGGTACAGCCAATGATCCCACCTGGCGACAGAGCTGGATGTGCATGCACAAGAGGGCAGAAGGTGTGTGCATAATGGGGAGATGCAGGCTGGAGCCTTCATTGCCAAGGGGAGGCATTTGGACCCTGTTTGGTCAGCTGAGGGAACCACTCAGGAACTGGAACATGTTGCCTAATGTTTAGCTCTTAATACCTGGACCTTCTCCTGGCTTCCTTCTGGAGTAGGCGTCCTTGTTGCCACCACCCTTGGGGCCTCCCCTTCTCTGTCCACGGCTACCTTGGCCCCATGTTCAGTGCTTAGAGTCCTGTTGCTGGTCTCAGGTGAGGGTATGATGAACTCTCTTGCCCTTAAGCATAAAATACATTTCCAGATGGTACCTCCCTAGGCAATTGCATTTGGCAGGTTCAGTGGAAAGAGCACCAAATTGAGATTCTTGAGGAGGCCTAGTTCTAGTCCTAGCTCTGCTTCTCACCGGCTGGATGACCTTGGGCAAGTGGCTTCTCTTCTCTGAGCCTTAGTTTCCACATTTGAAAAATGAGCAGGCTGGATGGGATGATTGACAATGGCCCTTCCAGTTGCAATGTTTTTTTGACTAATTTGCCAGCTGTCAAAGCCAAACATGTCTGTTTTGCCTCAGGCAAGGGGATGCTGTTGCTGCACCCTGGGTATTGAGCACGGGGCTCAGCGGGGAGTGGATGGAGAGGCTACATGTAGGTGCCACAGCAGTGTCAGCTGAGCTCAGCCTTGGATTCACCATGGCTCAGGCACTAGCTATGTGCATGAAGAAGCCTCCAGAATATTCCATCGTTCGACCATTCAAGTCTCAGCTGAAGCCCCAGAACAATGAAGCAGAGTGCTGTCCACTGTCTGAAGTTCTGACCCTCAGAATTTGTGAGCCTAGCAAGATTGTCCTTTCAGCCTCCAAGGCTGGGGTGGTTTGTTACGCATTCATAGATAACTGGAAATGAGCCGGGTGTTTTGAGGGTGGGTGGAGGATGGAGCGTCTCCCTATGCTGGTGAAGCCTCAGTGGATGTCCCCCTCTCCCTGCTGACTTTGCAAACAACCACCTCTGGTCTTGGATAATTACTCTGGGTAGCATGGCTCTTGGCAGAGAAAGCTCAGAGCCTGCACTGTCCTGGGATATTGTAAAGTTTATAAACAAGGAAGCTCTGAGATCTTTCTCCAGGCTGTCCCAGACTCCGAGGTGTTGGTCAGCCCGGAGGCGGGGCTCATCTGTACTTGTCAGTGTGGGAAAGGCTAAAGGGCACAGGGAGGTTGCTGACTCTGGTAGGGGTCCTCTGGTGCATCCGTCTCATTTCAGCTGCACAATAGCTCCATTAGGCGCTGTAAGAAGGGGTGTTTCCCCTACTTTACTGATGAAGGAAAAGCTCCGGCACCATGGTCAAGACTATACAGGGGAAATGGCAGCACTGGGCTTTGACCGCAGCCGCAGGACTCCACAGCTGTCCTGAGAAGCCCCGTGAGTGGTCTAGGGATGGGAGCTCTGAGAAGGGACCTCCATTTCCTTTAGCTAATCTCTTGGCTTGAACTAAGACCGCTGAACTTGGCTGATGTTCTGTTTCTCCTTCCTTCCCCACCCTCCTCATTCCTTTTTCCCTCTGGGGATTTTGAGGTAAGGAGGACAGGAGCAATCCATTCCCAAGTCCTTTGTTAGGGAAGACTCGATGGCAATACAGGGCTTCACTCACTAACTATTCCAGCGCTCCGAGCACGGATGGCAGGCCAGGCCAGGTTGCTCCCAAGCTGCGGAGTGATGGAGAGGAGGGGCGTGTCCTTCCCCGTCACAGACCCCTTCCCACCGTGAAACGAGGGTGATGAGGTTCCCACAATATGTACAGTGTCAGGAAGCATGTTGGATGGCCGGGAGGAAGCAGCCTATTCCCTTGTGGGACTTCCTCTCCCACGGTGTGTGTGTGTGTGTGTGTGTGTGTGTGTGTGCGCGCGCGCTTTGGCGGGGAGGAGGTGGGTGTACAAAGAAATCCATTTTCTGAGCAATCGTGCCAGGCTCTGTCACACGTATCAGCTCATGTAAATCGATTTCCAGACAAGACTTGGAGAGGTAAGCTGACCTGCCCAAGGCCGCAAAGCACGTGAGCAGCAGAGCGGGTTAGGGCGCCTAAAGGGTCTCACCAGAGCTCTGGAGGCGATGGGCCAGACCGGCAGAGAGGCTCTGGGCCCTCACCCCAGGGCTGTCCCGAGGGGTTCCCAGCAGGGGGCGCCCCGAGCCCCGTCCCGGGCCGCTGGGCGCGCCTCCAACCGGCGCCTGGGACGGGGCTGGGCGCTCCGCCCCTAGGCTCCTGCTCTGCTGGGCGGGCGGGCTGGAGGGCACCCGGAGCGCCGGGAGACAGCGGAGCCTACAGCAGAGCACCGCGCACCCCGCTGTGCCCGCGTGCCCACCGCGCCCGCCACAGCACAGCCTTCCCCCGTGAGTAGCGCCTGTGTGCCCTGACTGGCAGGACGGGGCGCGCGGTCCGCCTGCAGCGGTGCCCCAGAGCTGGCGGGGGCAAATTGCTCTGGGACGCACTCTCGATTTCTCCAAGCCTGCCACCCGGGTCCCTGATGCCGCCCTCGGGTATGGCCGGCCGTGGCCTTGGGCTCTGTGGCCTCACTAGAACGCCCGGACCTGCCCACTGCACACCCAGGGCGCGCTCCGAAGCCTGGCAGTTTGACCCGAGGGACGGGGGCTGCTGGCAGAGGCGTGGCACCCAGGGAGGAGATGCGAGGCAGACTTCTTTCCATCAAGTTAGGGCCCCTTGATGGGGGTAGAGCACCCCAGATTTCTGGGAGAAGAGGGGCCAGGTATTCTCAGCATCAGCCTCCTCTCATGACTCCTTCTCCCTCCTTGCTCCAGGAGGTGATGAGAGGAGGCTGCTCTGTATGCAGCTTCCTATGTGGCAGAATGAAGCCATGAGCCCTGTCATTAGGATTGTCATCAGGATCCTGGTGGGGGGCACAGCTGGGTTGGGGCAGGGGCAGCTGGTAGGTCTGTGCAGGCTGGGACAGAAAGGCATAGAAGGATGCTGTCAACAGTTGCCCCTGACTCGGGTCCAGGGAGGCATTGTGGGTATCTCAGGGAATGTGTGCACCTGGCCATTCCTCACCGTAACTCAGCAAAGTGGAAATTAGTATTCTCACTTTAGGAGGAGTGAATAAAGCCCAGAGAGGTGAGCTTGCAGGTCACACAGGTGGTAGTAGATTAGGGTGCACACTGGAAGAGAGGGCGCCAGAGCTGGCTGCCTGCAGGGCAGGTTCGAAGACCCCTGTGGGCAGGTGGAGTGTGCTCAGTCTCTGGCACCTTGTACCCTAGGATCCAGTGGAGGCCACTGGAGGCTGCTGCTGCGGTTTCTGACACTTGCTTCCCATTAGCCTCTGTGGAAGGTGTTTCTGGGAGAATCCTGGTGACTGAAGGGTGCCCTTGCCTTGGCCCCTTCACAAATACTGTCAGAGTCCTTTTCTTCTCAAACCACCCATCTAGCAGGAAGCATTTTTATCATGAAGTTGGCCCCAGTGATAACCCAACAGCTTTGGGAGAGGCTTGGGCAGGGGGCACAAGTGGCTGTGGCTGTGGGGGGAGGGGGCTGCTGCGCTGGGGCAAGTTTCCAATGGGCAGGAGTGAGCCCTGGACTGACCCTGACCACCTCCCTCGTTGTTAGATGTGGGGGTGAACAAACAGGGCTGCCCAGTGGAGCTGGGCCTTCACCAGAAAGATGGAGTTTTCTCATGTCAGCCTGGCAAGTGGCTCATCTTTTCTGAGCCCTGGCTTCCTCCTCAGAGACTGGGGTGGGTCAGAGACTGGGGTGGGTCAAAGACTCTGGTGCCTGGAAAGGCCCTGTAGTGCCAAAGCCCCCTCCCTTCCTTCTGGTGTCAGCCTCCTCAGCGCCTGAGTGTGATGGGTCCTGAGAGCGGGAGGAGGATGGGTGGTGTAAGGGGGGAATCATGCCCGCCCCCTTGCAGTGTCCCATTTTCCTTACTTGCACTGGGGAAGCAGGGGGAGTGAGCATCTCCAGGAGTTCAGCAGAGTGAGCTGGGGCCAGTGGGGAAGCGGGCTTCACAGGGCTGAGAGGGTCTCCTGTGGGGCGATCCTCCAGCTCCCGAGGCCTCCTCCTAGGCTGTGTCTCAGAGGCCACTGACTTTCCCAACCCTGGGGCCACCATCGGAGGTGCTGTCAACAGAAGCCCAGGAAGAGCAGCTGGAGTGGGCCAGCGGTGTGACTTTTAGTACATCCCTTCCCCTGTCTGGACCTCCATTTCCTTCTTTTGTAAAACCAGTGGGTTAGACTAGACAGCAGTGGTTTCCACCGTCACTGCCGTGAATTCTTACGCAGAAACCCGGCATATAATGTGGCTGAAGTGGAACTGCTCCGGCTCCCCTTCTGCACACTGGTGGCTCCTGAAGCAGGGTCTACAAACCCCCAGATGACCTTTGAGGCCCTTTTCTGTGAGGTTCTAGGAAATCTGTACTAACCCTCAGAACTGTTGCCTAGTGTTGGGGCCGGGGGCAGGAATGTGAATTCTAGAGGCTGCCTGAAGAGAAAGCTGGGCATGAAGAAGGGCCTCATCCTTGGAATGTCTGGAGCTGGTGGCCTGCGCCTCTGGCCGAGAGCTGCTGCTGTGTCCCTCCCCTTTGCTGTGCGGTTTTGTCTTCTCAGGGCCAGAAAGGCGCCTGTGCCTCTGGGTCCTAACTGGTGACTGTTATTCCACCTCAGAGTTTCTCCCCTTTATTTTCATGTTTCTGAAAACTGGCAGCATGCAAATTCATCTTGGGGAGAGATGTAAGGCGAGGGCTTTAAGCTGTCATCAGCTGTTTTTGCCTGATGGGGTATCATGGTTGATGGTGTGCCCGCCGTCTGCCAGCTACCACGAGGGGACAGAGGTGAGATTGTTACAACCCCTGCCCTCATGGGTCTCCAAGACAATAGGCAGGAGTAAGGAACTCACATTTTGGGGACCATCCAAGCAGTATTTAAAACATTTTACATATGTTACCTCATTTGTCCTGTAAGGTGGATATCAGACTCTTTTTTCATTATGTAAAACCACATACACAATAAGTATATATCCCATCTACCCATGCAACCACCACCCAGATTAAGAAACAGCAATGCCAGCACCCAGAAATCCCCATGTGTTTCCTTCTAGGCAAATCCCTCACCCAGGGGCAACTGCCGGCTGCAGCACCCTAGAGTAGCTTTGCCTGCGTGAAGGCTTTTGTGTCTGGCTTCTTTCGTTCCACATTATGGTTGTGAGTTACACCCACATAGTTGCAGATAGCAGTAGTTGATTCTCATTGTTGTGTAATAAGTCCACGGTATGGGTATACCTCTATTTATCTGTTCTTCTATTGCTGGCCATTTGGTTGTTTCCGGTTTTCAGTTATTGTTAATGGTGCTGCTGTGAGCATTCCAGCGTGAATCGTTTAGAAGACATCTGCCTGCATTTCTCTTTGGTATGTCCATCAACACTGCCTAACAGTTTTCCAAAGTGGCCCAGCATTTAAGAATCCTAGTTGCTCCACATACTCACCAACACGAGGCTTTGCTAGACTCATTTTCCATGCACGTAATTTGAAGCTCAGCAAAGTTGTCATGTGCTAAGTGTGTGCTAGTAAGTGGCAGAGCTGGGGTTTGAAGCCAGGCCTGTGTGACTGTGGCATCTGTGCTCCCTCCCTCTGGGTTGGACATAGACATAGATTATGATGGGCCAGAACGTGATAAGCTCTCACCCTAAAAATGTATGAAGAACTCTGTCTGGGAATTTGAAAAGGAGGAGAATTTTCATCTGTTTTGGCAAGAAAAGGGGTCATGGAGCCTCACGGGTATGGTAGCGTTTGCACTGCGAGGAGGGCTCTCCAGGTGCGCTTCCCTTGGAAAGGGCCCAGCAGAGCTGAGGCATGGCAGGGGTGAAGGTTCTGGGGAAATGGGAAGGTCTTCTTTGACTGTAATATAGGGTGTGTGTGTGTGGGGGCTAAGGTCGGGAAGGTGAGCTGGGGCCAAACTGGGGGGCCTGGTTTGTCCCTGGGGGCTCCCCTGCCCTCACCCCATCCAGCCAGGATGTGGACCCCAAGGATGGGGTTGTCCCTTTGCTCAGGAGCTGGGGCTGCTGCAAATCCAGCTCAGCCCCTGACAGCTAACAGCCTCAGCCTCCAGCCAATGGCAGCTCTTAGCTGCTGCTGGGACCACTCTCAGGGTATCTGCTAACAGAATTTTTTGGAGTTTTCTGCTTCCATCTAGCTGTGTGTAATTAGTAACTTTACTAATTTGTAACCCCCCACCCCCACCCCAAGGACCTGACCCAAATAGTCTATTTGGAAGGATTTTTTTTTCAGCACAGAGAAGATGGTGGGTAGCAGTCCTGCTGCCCTGTGGGCTCAACTCAGGAGATTTGCCAGGACGGAGGTGAGGGGTGAGCATGGGCTGAGCCTCTGATTCTGGTCAAGCCAGATTTGCCAGGAGGACCTCCAGACCTTTCCACAGAAAGGAACGGAACTGGTTGTCTGCATAGCTGTGGGAAGCAGAAACACAAACAGTAGTCTGGGATGAGTCAAACAATGACAGTAACAATCCCCCTGTTTTTTGCCCAGCGGTTTGTGCCCTCATCACGATGTGTGAAGTAGGCAATATCGATGTTGTCACCCCTGTGTACAGGTGCAGGGAACTGACTCAGAGCGGGTGCCGACCCGCTGTGAGTCACATGTCCAATACACAACCAGCTGAGCCTAGAACTAGGGCTCTGGAGCCTGCTCTTTGCAGTGTCCCATCCTGGCTGTGCCCTGGCCCCAGGGTGGAGCAAAGGGTGAAGACAAAGCAGGGAGGAGGATGTGTGATGGACCTCGAGTGCCGACAGGCAGGGGTTGGCAGGTGACCCTGAGAGTGAGGCCTGGGTGCCTGGCCAGCCCTGTCTGGAGGTCTTCAGGAAAGTGTGTGTCTTCGTGGAAGGGAGGGAGTTGGGTGGCATCTTAGTAACAGAGCTCTAGTTTGCAGGGGACAGAAATGGAGGAAAGAGGGTGAAATGTACACACCGCCTGAGAGTTAGAACAGCTCCAGCCACTTGGTGTGGATGAGACACGCCCTTATGTAATGGTGCCTCCACCCAGACTGATGAAAACAGTCTTTGGGGTTCATGGGGCCTGGGTGTGGCTGATGTCTGATTGACAGGCAGAAGAAGAGCTGCCAATGCTTAGCCGAAATGAGCTCTGAGAGGCCTGTGATAATGACTCTTGAAAGACACATCCCCGGGCAGCTGGTGTTATCTTTGTGACTTGCAGAGTGTGTCCTGGGCCCTGCCCTTGGGGTGCTGTTGAGGGTGGCATGTGGCTGTTCCAGGAATGGGAGAGCTCCTTGGGGAAAAGGGATCCCAGGGCAAGATGCACACAGTCTCTTCAATGGAGGAGTGAGCACTGTGCATGGCCCGGCTCTCCGTCAGGTGCCCTGGGCGGGCAGAGTCAGCTCCACTTTACAGATGAGGGAACTGAAGCTCCTCTGACCAGAGACGAGGCCACAGAGCCTGTTGGGGGCAAAGCTGGAACCAGAAGCTCAGGCTCCTGCCTCCTGATGCCTGTTGTAATTGGTCACGCCGCTCCCACCCATCTTTCCCTCAGGGTGATGAGTGAGAGGCTTTACAGATCAGTTCAGACCTGAGTTCAGGTGGCACAGCCCCCGAAGGAGCTGAGGTCATGAAAATCTCTTACCTTTTGACTGCATTTTACAGTTTACAAAATGATTTCATGATTTGTCATTGGTTTTTACAGTATTAGCCCCTTTTACAGACAGGGACGCTAAGTCTCCTGCTGTTTAAATGATTTGCCCAAGCAAAACTGGGAGTCAGAACTGGATATTCTGACTCTAAAACAAGTGTTCTTTCTCCCGCATGGAGACTGCCTCTTCCCTCAGTCGACCCGAACTTCCTGAGAACAAGTCGCTAAAGTTGTTTGGCATGGCTGTTCCTCTGAACTTGGTCAGAGCAGATCCAAACGAGTGAGGAGGGCTCTTTTCTGTCTCCTTCCTCTAAATCAAATCCATACAGTGTTGGTCATGGAAAAGGCTCGAGCAGGCCAGTTCTTGAGGAACGAGGGCTGCGGATTGTTGCTGAATTATTAGCTCTCTGGCAGCTGATTACTTTTAGGCTCAGACTCTTAGGCTTGTGTCAATTTACACATCTCTCCCGATCTCAGTTTCAGGGCTGTGTGCGCCAGGCCTCAATGAGGAGCCCAAACATGGAGACCTTCAAACAGCAGAAGGTGGAGGACTTCTATGACATCGGAGAGGAACTGGGGAGGTAAGAGGCTGTGAGTGGCAGAGGGGATGTGAGACGGAGCCGAGGAGTCACTTCCCTTGGTGCACCTGTCAGTTGATCTTGCCGCAGGATTCGTGGGAAGCTTCAAAAACAATCCTGAGGTTTTTTTACTTAGTTTTTATTGAGTTTTGGGGGGTGACATTGGTTAACAAAACTATACAGGTTTTAAGTGTGCAATTCTATAATACATCATCTGTATATTGTGTGTTCACCACTCAAAGTCAAGTCTCTTCCATCACCATTTATCCTCCTTTACCCTCTTCTACCCTCCCATCACCTGCCTCTTCCTCTGGTGATCACCACACTGTTTGTCTGTGTCTATGAGTTTTGTTTTGTTTTTTTTTTGTCTTTGCTTAATCCCTTCACCTTTGTCACCTGGCCCCCAACCCCCTCCGCTCTAACAGCTGTTGATAATCCTGAGGTTTATTCATCTTTATGGGCGGCTCTGCAAATAGTCATCTCTCTGAAAATAAAGCCACCAGCCAAAGGGGCTAGAATTGTCGAGCTCTGTGTTTTCAGTCCATTCTGGCTAAGAGTTATGGTGAATCTAACTGATTCTTGGTTCATCTGTTACTGTTCTCCCGAAGCCCTCCCCATGCTTTGCATTGAGCCCTGACCTGTTGGTTTTCTTCTCCAAGTTCCACTTGGCATTCCCCACCCCTCCCAGGATTTCGTTTCATGAGCTCAGAGCCTGCATGGGAGGTGACGTAATCCTCCCCAAAGTGGATTTGCATCGAGTAACAAGCGAGTCGAGTCGTGCAGCTTCCTAGGGCCTGAGTTAACAGGACGCCCTTCCTCTTCATAGAGTTCCTGGGGCAGGACTAATTCTTTACTTTTTTTAATTTTAAAAGATAAAACAGGAAGAGCCTCCAAGCCACAGCCAGACTCTGAGAAGAATGGGAGGCGCTGGTGTTTCAAGTTCAGGCAGTGCTTGTCCTGGGTGACTGGACGGCTGGGTATCAGGGGTAGCAAGTGATATGCAGAGACCCCAGAGTGGGGTGACTGTCCTGCCTTATTTCAGACACTGGGCTGACCTAGGCCATCTAGGGCCCAGTGAAAGGGGCAACAGAGGACAGAGGACCGAAAGCTGGAAGTGGTCAGATGGAGTCTGCCTCTGAAAGAGAGGCCAGGTTCTTTTTGCCTCAGGTGCTTCTTCTGACCTTGGTGACACCAGGGAGAAAGTGGCATCCTCAACAGCAGATCCTGCCAGTGGCATATGCTTTGGTGGCCTCACCTTGGTCACACCCTGCATGTAGGGCTCAGGGCTAAGTGCTGTTGTTACAGAACAGGGCCAAGGGGGGTACGATTTACTATTACCAAAGGACCCCGCACTAGGTTTCTCATTGTCCGCTGCCAGAGGAAAGACGTCTCTCAATGCCAGAGATTTATTAAAAGGAAAGGAAATGTTTATTTTAAGCTATACAGGCTTAAAGTAGTGACTGAATGTCTTCATTAAAATATTAAAGTCCTTTAGGATACCCATAGATGCACACAGTCCTTCCTTCTCCCTCTGCCCTAATCTGGGGCACCGTATCTCAGGAAAAGTTGAAGTCCATGGCTCAGGTTCTTGGCACTATCAGCTGTGTTGCCAGCAGGATCTGCAGTTAATCCAAAGTCATGTGTCACCTTCTCATGGCCTACTAGCAAGAGTCCTTTGTGTGATTTTCCCCTGGCAAAGCTGCAGGAGTCCCCACTCTGTCAAAACCACGCGGTTCTCTCTCACCAAAGCTGCGGGGATCCCCACTCTGGCCAAAGCTGCGTGGTTCTCCCCCCAATGGCTGCCATGTCTGTGTTTAAATCCCTTCACCAATTTTCCTCCACACCCCCATTTCCGATTCCTCCTACAATCAGTTACACCTGCCATTATTCCAAGTTTACTGGGCTGCCATCATGAGTCTGGGCAGGTGTGGCTCCATGTCATGGAGCCAGTCTTCTCCAAGCTCTCACACAGGTGCTGTAATCAGGGGGACCTGCCCCCAGTTACATCTTGGGTGGAAGTCCCTTCCATCCCTGGCTCAGAGCATGGCCACAGCTATTTAATATATCTGTGCAACCAGTTAAAGGTTATAGATATGTTAAATGACCACACCAGAGGTTAGCTGCAAAGCAGTTGCTGTACAAAACAGCTCCGCATGTTCCTGCTCCATGTGTCCCTTCCTCCAACTCACACCTGTGGGGGAAGGGGTGAGGATATCCTAATATTTCCTGGACACCTTGCATTCTGGACCCCATTGCAAATCCCTATTTGGGGCCCCCCTCTTGGCTGCACACTGTTTCACTGTGGGTACAAAGATGAGGAGGGCACAGGCCATCTCTGCCTTCCTGGGGCTCCAGCTGATGGTGCGGGCAGCCACTCACACAACAGGGATGGGACTGGTGCCAGAGCTGGAAACTGAGCAGTGGAGGTGGGAGACTCCGAAGAAGGAAATACAAGCAGTTTCCTGGGGGAATTCCTCTATTATTGCTTCCTAGTCCTGTCTTTTCCCCATGCACTGTATCAGAGCGATGAGAACTAGAAGAGGTCTCACGTTTTCTGATCCTCCCTGTAACAGGGCGTGAAGCCCCATGTGTCTCGCAGGCTGGGGAGCCTGAAAGGATTCTGCCTACTTTTCTCAAGTGCTAACCAGACAAGGAGGGGATTGGAGACAGGAGAGGCCTTTGGAATGGCTTGACATGCTAGGACATGTGGTCTAGAGGTCAGATGAGCTGGAAAGCCATTAAGGGTCCCTTCTAACAGGCCCTTCCTTTGATAGTAGAAGAAACTGAGGCTCAGAGAGGGGGGGTTCTTGCCTGGGGCCATAAACAGGCTGGAAGTGGAGCTGCCTCCCAGCGATGGCTCAGCTTCTACAGGGACAGTCCTACCTTTCACTCCTCCCCTTCTTTTCTTCATTTAATGTTCTATTGTGCACCAGTCACTGCCCAAGAAGTGGTAAGCGCACAGGGATATTCTCAAACTCTTGCAGCTTATGCTCCATTGGTGGAGAAAGGCACTAAGCCAGTGAGCAGGAAGGGATGCATCACTGTAGCATGCATTAAGGACTGCGAATAGAGACAGCAGGGTGCTAAGAGAGAATAGGGGCTGTAGTTTAGACTGGGAGGTCTGGGAAGGCTGTTCTGAGGAAGAGACTCTGAATTTGAGAAATGAGGGGTTAACCTGCAGGTAGAGATAACAGCATGGACATAGGCCCAGAGATGGGGAAGGGCCTGGTGTCTGAGCTGCCGGCAGGAGGCCAGTTGGTCTCCAAACAGGAGCTGTGGGCAAGCAAGCCATGCTGGATGAGGTTGGAGATGTCGGTGGGGCCATCTGCAGCCAGCTAGCTCCCTGTCAGCACAGAATGGTGGAGAGGTTTGGCCTTAGGGGCCCCGCAGACTGGGGCTGGGGTCCCCTTCCTAGCTGTGCAGCCATAGGACAACTTGACTACTCTAGGCCTCAGTTTTCTTACACATATCATGGGAATGACAGTGGTACCTACCTCACAGCTGTGGGGATTAAATGAGATGCCAAGTCCGTGGTGGTCCTCATAGAGCCGGGCACAGGGTAAGTGTTCAGTGAACAAGAGCAGCTGGCCTTGGAAATGAATTTGGAGCATCAGGGTCCTGCCTCCCCCAGGTATAGCCCCTAGGAGAGAGGTGTGGGACTCTGCGGGCAGGACAGCAGGGGAAGGAGCCCGTCGTTCTCACTTTGGACAGAGCTGTGCTTGATGCTCCCTCAGTTGTCAGTGAGTGCCCTAGCCTCCTCTCAGGGCGGTCTTGTTGATTTTAGCTCCTCATTAAGTCCTTACTGTTCAAAACTGAACATGAATGACAGTCCTTTTTCCTTTTTACCTGCACTGATGAATGAAGCTCACAAATATAATGTCGAGTGAAGGAAGCCAGACTCAGTCCCTGCTGCATAATTCCATCTTCATTAAGTCTGAAACAGGCAAAATGAATTAGATACACTAGAAGCCAGAATACTTACTGGTTACTTGGCGGACCAGAGACCGGCAGGGGGCACAGGGGGACTCCTAGGGCGTAGGTGGTTTTCTGTTTCTTCATCTGGTGCCTGTTTCACTACTGTGTTCATTTCATGAAAATGCATCAAGCTGTACATGTATGTTTTCCTGTAGCTAAAACCATGTATTAACAAGCAAAGAATCTTGAACTCCACTTCCTGCCCTGGTCTGGTTCCTGAAGCACATGCTTTTGATTCCTTCGGAGGCCTCATCTGTCTTTGTCCTACAAGTAAGAACCTCTGTGAGAAAAGCTGCAAACCCCAGCTTTGGATGGGGACAGTGTGCCCTGGCTGGAGCGTCCTGAGCTGGGCTGGAACCGCACCTGGGCCTGCACACCTCACCTGATTCTGGCTCTGCACTCCCATCTTTGGCAGCAGCCTGCCTGGGATGCTGGGGCGGTTGGAGAAATGCTGGCCTGCAGATTCTGGCCTCTCCCAGACTTGGGAGCCACCCAAGGGCAGAGCAGGGGAATATTACAGTGGGGCTCATAGAGAAAAGCCCATTCAACCCCTTGTTTTACAGACAAGGCTAAGATCAGAGAGAGGAAGTGGTTTGTCCAAGGGCACACAGTAAACCAGTGATAGACCAGGGTGGGGACAGGAGGTGTGGCTCCTAGCCTAGGGTCTGGCCACACCAGAGGACCCGCAGGGCACAAACTCATTTTCTTCTTTAATTTGCATGCTTCTGGAAAGTGGGGGAGAATCTATGGTAGGGTGGTCTTTTCCTTTTGACCTGGAGGGTAGAGTAGGAGGGTGGCGTCAGGAGGCGGGCATCTGGGAAGGAGTGGTGTTCCCAGAGGAAGGGCACAGGTGGTTAGGTCCAGGGATGAATGCCGTGTGGCCAAGGATACAAGGCAATTTAATGTGCACTGCATGTAGCAGTCAGTGGTTTCTTCTTCCTATTTTACACTGCTTTCCTTTACTTAGATTGTTAGATTCTTACATTAACAAAATCATTAAGTGTTACTGTTGAACTGGATCTCAACAA